ATGCCATTTTGATTTAACAAAACAAAGATCTTTTAACTCTATTAAATTAAAATGGGGATTTTAACTCTATTAAATTAAAATGGGGATGGGGGCGGGGGCGGGGGCCGCGGCAGCGGCCGCGGCCGGAGCAGGGGTGTAATGAGGCATTCATGCACAAAATTCTCATTGTTTACAGTCTGTGATCCATGTGCTTCCTGACAATAAAATTACCTGTAATGTTTAAAGATAGCAAAGGATGTTTGTAGGGAACAATTTGTATTTTATAGACTATTGAAACTTCTCTCAACAAACCCAAATGATTGCAACGCATGAAAATGCGAGAGATTGTCAACCACAGCCAATGTTGAACCTGTGTAGGTTAGCCTTTTGAAGTCTTTTATGAACAATATATTCTTTCTTTGGGTTTACCTTGCAACCTGAGGGTTGATATATGCTCCAGATTGATCATGTCCGGGCCAGGAAACTCAATAACCAGAGGCTGCCAAACAATAAAATTTGAATTCACATGCTTAAGGAGTTGTACTTGTAAAAGTAGGGTGTTTGGTTCTACTTTTCAAAATTTTCAGCTTAGAATGTTTTAAAGCCAATTTTTAAAGTTAGGTTTTAGATGTTTATTTTTAAAACTAGCTTATTTTAAGCTAAAATCAACTTTTGTTAAGTGGCAGCAAACAAGGGTTGTCCCGATTGTTTTGTGAGATACCCTTGCTTATGGCAGAATTTTAATCCTTAAACATGTGGCAAATCTACAACTTTCATTGAGGCCATGAAATATATTGAAAGGCCATCCTTTGACTAGTGGAACTTTAGTTGATTGAAACCTCTTCCTCTATGTCGGTAGAATTTTAGCTGTTTGCACTTTTTAGGTTTTGAATGGTAACCAGTTTGTACTTTTTTTTTAAATAACAAACACCATGGACCCAGAATTTGGGGATGTTTGTTTGCCTCCACAAGTTCAAAATCTATCTACCTGCCAAACCATCAGGCATGAGGTGCATAGTGCGTATAAAACTCCATTGGAATTACCTGAAAAATGTGCAGTTATTGAAACCCATTTAGTCTTTTCATTCTAGGTTTCAATGCTTCCATATCCTTGTTGATCAACTAGCCTTTATCCCAATTACTTTGTTTTCTAGTATTGACTATATTCAAAGCCATAACTGGTAAGTTCAAGGCAATCATTTCCTTTCTAGTTTTCTCTTAGGTTGTGTTTGGATCATAGATTTGTGTAGGCATTTGTGGTGGAAAATGAAAAGAGGAGGGAAATGTTAAAAAAATAAAGCTTATATTTTAGTCTCATTTTCATCCCAATCTCTTTTGCTTACACACATTCCTACTGAAAGCCAAGATTCAAACACAGCATTATGTTTCTATCTTCCCTTGACATGACTTGTAAAATGGTGTGGACATATCTTCCCAATATCTTAGGGAAGTTTCTGTACTCTCTGAGAATTTGACTAATGAATCTCTAGCATTATCCAATGCAAGTCCATCAGATTTGCAGATTAAAGAAATAGAATCAGGCCTCTTGGTGTCTAAGTTTTGTTTCTCATAGCAAGTTCGAGTGTGAGAAGAGTGAACACAATCATCATGGAACAATTCAACAAAAATGTAAACTTGGCAATTTCTAATGAAATCATGCTTCTATAGATGCTAAACCAAGGAAAAGAGTTTCGATGATGTTTAATATATTAGAAATCCTGTTTTGTCTTGGTCCATTCTGTTTCATGCATATGCTTCATTTCCTTTTATTTAAAAATTTATTATATATATTTTTTTTCTATACTTATTATCCATGTTTGACATTATCAGTTTTGAGTTTTCAAACTCGTATATATGGTTTGAATTCTACAACATTCCACTGGAGAAAGATGTTGCCTTAATTTGCAATGTAAGTAACTTCTCTTTCATCCTAACTAATATTTATTTGCAAGTGATTCTCAATTACTCGGTTGATCTTGCTTATATGTAGACAATTCGGTCATGGCACATTGTTGGACGTCTAGGTGGATGCAATTCAATGAATATGCAAGTAAGTTGCTTTTATAGTCCACTAACGAGTGGCACACGCGATGCGCGTGCTATTTAGATAACTAATAATAAAAACAAATAATAAAGAATTTAATATCATAATATGTATGTTGCTTAAGTGATAAGTATGTTTTTAATGAAACCCAATGTCTTGGGTTCAAAACTTGCTTATGCTGTGTATAATAATTTTTTTATTTTATTTTAGTTTATATAAAGTCGCCACGTGGCATGTGGAGAAGAAGGGTTCACTAAATCAATTTAGGCCTTCACTTAATAATAGTATAGATAGATATACCACCCTGTTTTGTTGAGTTTTCAGAATCTATTTTTTGTTTCTATGTTCAAAAAATAGAAACTAGTTTGACAAAAGTTAACACCAAAAACATATTTTCAAATTTTCAAAAATTATATTTGCCCCAAAAAAGAGAACCATATGAAAATGATGAGTGTTTTTAAATTTTTATTTATTTTTTTATTCTTTTTTAGATTATGTTGCTTAAGTGATAAGTATGTTTTTAATGAAACCCAATGTCTTGGGTTCAAAACTTGCTTATGCTGTGTATAATAATTTTTTTATTTTATTTTAGTTTATATAAAGTCGCCACGTGGCATGTGGAGAAGAAGGGTTCACTAAACCAATTTAGGCCTTCACTTAATAATAGTATAGATAGATATACCACCCTGTTTGGTTGAGTTTTTAGAATCTATTTTTTGTTTCTATGTTCAAAAAATAGAAACTAGTTTGACAAAAGTTAACACCAAAAACATATTTTCAAATTTTCAAAAATTATATTTGCCCCAAAAAAGAGAACCATATGAAAATGATGAGTGTTTTTAAATTTTTATTTATTTTTTTATTTTTAAACCAAACTAAACAGAAATCTTATTTTTAAAACTCAACCAAATTTTGTTTTTCAATCTATAATCCATAGAAAAATGCTAATAAATGGATGCCAAGTTTAGTGCTAGGATGTCCAACGGTTTACTGAATATATCTGAAGTTCCAGTACATTACTCCGACTTTGTGATGCTTTCAATATAATTCTGATTATTGCAGTTGTCGCAATCTCCTTTGGATAAAAGACCTAGTTATGATGCCATCCAAGGAGCAAATGTTACACCAACTTCATTTTATAACATTGGGGATCTTGAGATTCAATACAACTTAGCACGCATATGGTATGCTTCTGGTTCAAAATATCAGTTGATTATCTTAACACAGTATTCTTGTGGACCGAAGAAATGATTTTTTCCGCATATGCATTTGATCAAATTTTCGACAGGGTGGATATTGGTACCGGTGAGCCATTACTCTTGGATATTTTGATAAATGCTATAACACAGATAAGCTCTGAGTAAGCTTCCATCCCTCTCTCTCTCTCTCTCTCTGTGACATAGCCTTGAGCCTGCTAGAAAGCAAAAAGTGGATCTTGAGCGGCTGTATAAGAAAAGGGAGGCCAAAAAGAAAAAAAAAAAAAAAAAAAAAAAAAAAAAAAAGAAGGAAAGAGTTCATGACGAACTTTTATGCTTTTCTGCAGCATGATTGCACAATTTTTCCTGCAACATGATACCTGTAAACTTGTGTATATGAATGTGATATGAATTGCTAGGCTACGCTTCCTTCTATCATGCTGCTCTCTGCTCATTTGTTGGTAGATCACCTTTTTCTATTTTTGGTTCAACTTTTGCTGTTTTCACACCCTCGTCTCCAATTGAATTTGCGGTTAAGCCTCTTGTTTCAGCTAAGTTGACAAATGTTTTAGGCTTTATTTTGGCTTTAGTGAACTTTTTTCAACTTTTGAGTCAAAATATGATACTTTTTAGGTTCATCTAGACTAGACAATCCTAAATTTTTTGTTTTTTGTTTTTTGTTTTGTTTTGTTTTTTATTTTTATTTTTATTAAGAATTTGAAAGGAAAAAAGGGTTCAATTTTTATAGGCTTTTTTGACAAAATTTGACTTATTTCTGTTTTTAATAAGCTTTTTTCCTAAATTTTTTATTTATTTATTTTTTAATTTTCAGAGTCATCTAGTCTAGATGAACTAAAAAAAGAGAGTAGATTTTGACAATTTTTTTAAAAAAATGGCTGTTGCCAAAGGAAACTCACCCAATTGCCTTTTCATTTGACAGCTACATTGGAATTAAGCAAGTGGTGTTTGGTGGATCTGAATTCGAGAACTGGAGGGACGACTTGAAGGCAGAGGATGCAGGTTATAGCGTCCACAAGATTTAAGGCAACTTGAGTGAACATCACGAGAATGTCAGCATCGTGCTTCTTCTTTCCGGATCATTCCATACCTTCTCATCAATGATTAACGTTGCCTCATGAGTTATAACATCTTACAATCTTACAGATGTCTTATTTTGTATGCCTGAACAAACCAAAGATAGGTGTAGTAGAGTCTAAAGAGTAGTTCAAAATGTATACAATTTTGAGATGGTTGGGCAAGGATGTGTGCTTGGAATTAACTAGTTGTAGAGTTTAGATATTTAGAGAACACTTTTTTTGGCTACAATTTATGGTATTGTAATGAAGTGATTCCATAGAAAATTACTGTTTGTGCCAAGAAGCAGATCTAGGGGTTTTACTATGTGCATTGATGATTGAGCTAGTTATCCGTGAAAGTTCATGGAATTGTCAAGTGCTACTAAGATTCCAGGGATATTAACTAGTACAATTACCTCTGATCTGAGCAAGGCTTTGAGCTTCAAGTTATGTCAAGTTATGTTCAACTTTGAAACTAATATACCAGTGATTGTATTAATAGGTATTGGCATGCAGAGGTGGTAGTGGTGTCAGCACTGGTGGCAGTGATAGTATGGTAACATTGGTCAAACTTCGATTGGGAAATGTTTTTCACAATTCAAAAGTAGAAAATATTTTCCACATCCAAATAAACTTGATTGTTGATAACAAAAACACATTTTCTGTTGACATTTGTCTCGTGTCATCATACTAAATGCCATAAAATATGCCAAAACAAATTGAACATACAAGTTGGTTGTTTTCCATGTGTTAATAATCGCACCTACCTACAGCCTGCTCAAAATATAGAATAATAGCATGATTTCAAGTTTCACTTCATAAATCATAAAGGAGTTCTAGCTAATAATCCAAACAACATGACTGCAAATTAAAGTTCATTCTAGAACTAAGGAAACAGCTCATTCATTTACAGGCAAGCCCTCAATGCATTCCAACCTCTTCCAGAACTTTCACTTTCCTGGCAGATTCATGGACACCAAACAAACCAAACAACGATGGAATGGCCTTGCAAGTCTTCATGAACTTCGAGGACATACCTTCTGTGCAATCGACTTGATCTCTTTCATCCTTTCATCAACTAGTTCTTTCAGCTGCTGCTCTTGATTGGTTTGATTTTCATCCATGTCAATCCTACTAGCTTCACCATTCTTGCACCTGAACATAACAAACGACATTTCTTGATCATAATCTGTTGGAAATTCAATCACCCGCTTCTCTGCAGCCCCCGAGTCCTTCCCTATGACATCGGCTCTAACACGATCTGAAATGACAGTCATGAAATTGTCGATTTGCTTGTCTACAAAATCAAGGCCAAGATAGATGAGCACCTCCCAACATTGTTGAAACTGTTTCTTGTTAATTTTCAAACTTTTCCTAACGTGGTCAATAGCACTTGGAGGTGGCCCAAAACAAGACGTTTGGCTTTTCTTTGAGAGATTTTCTTGCTTCAGACGTAAAATTGTGGAATCGAGGGCTTTCTGGATTGGGTTAAAAACAAGCAGGCGTCCCACATCAATACACGTTCGCACGTGTTGTAAGGAATCCAAAGGCTCTTCAATTGTCAAGTCATAAACATTTTCACAAATCGCAACATTATTAAGCACCTCTAGAAGATGTCGGCCGTAACCTTTGTGCTGGTAAGGAGGCAATACAAGTATCTGCCCACAATAGAAATAGAAATCTCATCAAATGTTAAAAATAATCACATATCTTTTTTTTGGGATGAGCTAAAAAAACTACAATTTTTTTGAAACTTTTTTAAAAAATTTGTCAATTTTTTTATTTTTTTATTTTTCAAATCCGTCTAGTCTAAAATGATTTAAAAGGTCAAAAAAAAAAAAAAGAGAGAGAGAGAGAGAGAGTTAACTAAAGTAAAAAAAAAGTCAACTTTCAAAGAAATTTTTAGTTTAAATTTTTTACTTTTCAAGTCTGTCTAATTGAGTAGAACCTAAAGTGCAAGGCTTCTTGAAACTTTTTACTAAAAAATTCACTAAAGACGAAAAAAAGCCAACATAAAAGTTCCTAAAAAAACAATTCTCGAACTCCACTGACATACAAAATCAAAGATATCAAACATGCATCTTAGAAACACCAAATCCAGGTTCTCTTTAATTCAAGCTAACAAGTTATTAATGTAAAAAAGTGTAAACCTGACTAAGACGCAAGCGCAAACTGTCGGGATAATGGTAAAAACGATATATCGCTGCAAAACCAAGCAATCTAAGTTGATTGCCGCCTTGCAGATCAATTTTCTTCTGAACTATGAGAAGAATCTCCCATCTTGGATCAGTAATGTCAATAGGATTGCTACCTGATTCCATGATATGAATGGTTAAAAATTAAAGCTTAGTTTTATTACAAGGAATGTGATAAGAAAGCACAGAATTACGAAGTCCAAACTAGGTGAAGAATTACCATCTACAAGGATAAGAACAAGAGGTACCAATCGACTGTAAAGGTGCCCAACAGGCATGGTGCCCACCACAACGCGAATAACCTGGTCCAATTGGAAAGAAACCATAATTATGACAACCAAAAGAAAATAAGAACTGTCATTATCAACAAAAAAAATTCAAGCGTAATGCCTACATTGTTCTAAAATGCAACTATGATGGAGGGAATTTGTTTTTCTTTTGTTTACTTATTTATTTATTTTTGCGGGTGGGGGTGAGGAGATGCAAATGGATTTATAGTATGTTCTCATTCTTTCTTCCCAAGAACCAACGAGGGAACAAGTCTATTGGCAAGGAGTCTTTGAAAGACAAGACATTTTCAAAAGTCTACAACTCAACATGCCTTTGTCCAAATTACTTGGGGCCAGCTACATGGATCAATTTCCTGGCATTGGCTCCATTCACAATCACATTCTTAGTCAAGTTTACGATAGTCATGTCATTTCTTATCACCTCAACCCAAGTTCTCCCGTGTCTTCCTACATTTCTTTTATCACCCTCTATGTGTATCAAATCAATACTCCTTACATGAGCATTAATTGGTCTATGATGCATAAGATCATAAAATCTCAAATGATTTACCTCATTTTATCTTCAATTAGTGCCACTTTTAACTTCTTTATATTGAATTCATTTATTATTATTAATTTTCTTTTTCATAAGTTAAATTTCATTTCATAAAACAAAAAGATACAAGCTTTACAGGGGCATCCCTCCAGTCAAACTAGTTATAACAAAGATCAACGGCCTAGTAGCTTTCAATAGAACAGATATTTTCACAAACTACACACATAAAAGAACTATCAACTAGCTATCGAGTTTTTAGCTATTCCGTCATCTCATCCAATACTGACCCCTGTTTGGGAAATCCCCAAGAAGAAAATAACTTCTTATTTGTATGACTATTTTATATTCTCCCATTAATATAATCTTGCTCTGATGTCATTAATCACTTTATTTAGAACTGAATTTGCATCTATCCTTCTGTGAGAAAAAGTTCTGTAGTTCCTCCCCATCTACACATGACAGATAGTAGCAACCATTGCCAATTTGTGTACTGAATGGGCCAAAAGACTTTCCACCTATATTGCGAACTACCCAATCAATCTCAACTACAAAGGACATAGGGTTTCTTTCTACTCACATGCTTACTCAACAAAATCTCTTTCCATACATAGTGGGAAAAGCAGCATTCAAAAAACAAATGATTATGTGATTCCATCGCCATATTACAAAGCACACGAGATATATCATCTACCGCACCCCGATCCTTGATCCTATATTTAGTAGATAGCATGCCAAGAAAGCTTAACCATTGTATGAAAGACCATCTATCTCAATATTCTCATTTCAATTAGTTGTTTCACTAACGTTTCTTTTATTAACTACCCAACATTCAGTATCATTAATCATAGCAAGTCTTTATAGCAAATCCATGAAATGCAAAACAGGCAACCACTCTATTCACTAACAATAATACAGAAAAGGCATTAAAGAGCACCTCCAAATCAGAACAATCTGTCTTCAAATAACTGTTAGAATCACTGTTGTGCCCATTGGTGGTGTTTTGCTGCAATATCTCCCCTTTTGAGACAATAGATCTGTGACAAAGAACAAAAATCACAATATCAAATTTAACAATAATCTAACAACCAAGATAACACAATTTCAGAAGACAAAATGAGAAAGCATCAAATGTAAAGGTAAGTCATTGACGAAACATACTTAACATAATCACACTCGGTTGAAAATGTTTGAAGGAAATCCTCTTTTTTCTCAACAATATTCTCAGCAAAAATATTCTGTAAGCAATGACTTAAAGATCAGAACTCAATGAGTAAATGGATATTGGATATCAAGGGAATAAGTTAAGATGGGTGGTCCATGATTACCTGGAGAGCAGATTTCAGATCTGTAATCCCTTTGCCTCCCTTATAACAGTTAAGGGATAGAAATCATTAGCAAACCATCAGAAGACAAAGCTAGAATCGGGCTAAAGATAAGTGTAAGTACTTACATCAGATGTGCTCTGAAATGTAATCTCAGCATATGCATGAAAAGATATGCTGCTGACCCAAATGGTGATCTGCATGATTTGTGATAAAATATAAATTACAAATAAATAAATTAACACTTGCAAGCTAGAAAAGAACGGTTCCAAATAAACAATTAGGGCACATTTGGTATTGTTTTCATTTTATATTCTAGAAAATAGAAAAAACAGAAACTGACACAAAAAAAACTTGCTTGGCAGACAATTTTTGAAAAAAATTTTAGCATGCACCCCCTTTTTAGGAATTACTTTTAAATTGCTTTGTAAATCTTTGAAAACAAATTCAGACAAAAATGAAAACCATAAAAAAATCATAGGTGCTTTCAATGTTTTTCATTATTTTTATTTTCACCAAAACCAAAAACATCAAAAATGAAAACAATCCCAAATATGGCCTTTATGTTTAATATATTTTCATGCAAGAGATTGTGCATGATCTGTGTTGTGCAGGAGGAAAGTATATTATTATATGTTATAAACAAAAAGAGCTTTTTTTAGCTTGATAAAAAGCATGCATATCCATGAATGCAACTTTCAAAGCCTCCACACTGAGGACATGAATGCACAATGCCAAAACAAGAACAAGCAACTACTGAAAAGGAGATAGAAACAAAAACGGAAGTTCATTAATCACCAATAAAATTTGGGCACAAACGCCATAATGGGAAGATGCAGTTTCAAGAGCATCAAAATATCAACAGTTGAGTCTTAACCAAATTTTCCAATTTAACAAAAAGGTGTATTACCTTCAACCCTTGGTAACCATAAATTTTTCCATCTTCTTCGAAAAAGTGGTTCAAGTCAACTGGCTGAATACAAAAGCTATCTGGAGCATCCACCTCCTCTTTGCTAGAAACTAGTATTGACATCAAATAAACAAGCATGACAAAATTAGGCTCACAAATGAAAATAAAAATATGGGCAGGATGTACAGCTTAAAATAAAAACTATAAAAAAAATAATTACTACGGTGCTCATCTAGAACTGCTCACCAACTCAGCATTGGCTCAACAAGACTGGCAAACACTGTAGAACCAAGCTCGTTGTTTCAACAACCACAAATTGAAGCCAGACGCCCAGCTTAACTTCTTAAATAAAAATTGAAGTTCATGATTTTGTAAAAAAATAAAAATCAATCCATAGGCGACTAATCATTTGACCAAGCAATATTCCTCATAGATGAAACTAAACCATAGATTAACAAGTAAGGTTGGATTAAGGGTCCAAATATATTAACAAAATGAGTAGAGCCTATGCACTCTTAACATTCAACCTCCAGCTGTGCATCACTAACCCAAATGAACCAAATTGGAACTTGCAACTCCGGCCACAAGCCCCAAGTTCAATGAACCTGAGCTGAAATCAACTCACTAATGACGCCATTTCAGATTAAAAATTTGTTCCCACAAAAAATAAACAAGTAATTAAACAGAATAAAACATTTTATAAAACATGTAAGCATATATGATTGTGGTACTGTATATATCAGCTACAATCAGAGCCCCAAGTTCAACGAGCAAATCACCTTGCTTATGACACCACATCTGGTCAGCTATAACTCTACAGAATAAAACCTTGTATATAACATGTGAGCACGTATGATTGTGGTAGTGTATATATATATACCATGCACACAAATATCTATAAATAAATAAAAAAATTATGTGTGTGTGTGTGTGTAAATGACATATATATGTGCAGCTCTAGTGCAAGAATGTTTTCCAACATTTTTGGCAAACAAAATGCCAAAAAACTGTTGGTTTAGGTCAGAAATTATAATGAGTTCCATAAAATCAAGTTCATGATGAGATAAATTCAACACGACAACCACAAATCATCGTGAAAATCACTGACTAATAATAATAATAAAAAAAACCATACCCAGATAGATTTTGATGCAATCGTTAGCTTCGATTCCAGCATCTGCACCCAAACAATTGACCGCAAACAGAGTCGATGAGTGAGAGAGCTACAAATTGAAGTAATGCTTGAAAAAGAAACAAAGGAAACAGAAAAATGATGAAATTAGAGCAGAATCGGATGGGTAGAGTCACCGATTTGGGAGAATCCGACACGGCGGCGCTTCTTGGGGTCTGAAACGGGATCGGAGGAGTGGTGCTTCGTCCCCATTTTTCGGCAGTTAGGGTTTCTTCGGAGCGGGAAATAGTGAGAGGCGGGAAATGCACATAGTGTGTGTATGTATATATATATGTACAATAATGACTACTCCTTGATTTCCCAAAACATCAAAATATATTTTCCTTTTCAGATAAGCTAAGTTTGGGTAACCTAAAAAAATGCCTTTATTTCATCTTTTTATTTTTTTTGGATCAAATTAATTAATATTTTCTTTCTATTTTTTCTATACATAATATAAAAAAATTCAAAAAGTGCACTTATTTAGTCTTCCCAAACTTGGCCTTTTTAAAACACTAAAAAGTTTAAGGAAATCTTTTTAAAATCCTTTATATTAAAATTTTATAAGATAAATGATACTTTTTCAGGCCCAAAATAATGGTTTCTTTTGAGAAATTTAATTTTTTTTGGTAATACAATTACATTTTTAAAAAATTAATTTTTTAAAATTACCCTTTGATTATACATTTTTTGAAAAATATCAATGTCATAATTATACTTTTTATATTGTTAATGAATTTAAAAGAAGGTAAAATAGGAAATTTATATTATTTTTGTACTAGATTTTTTTAAATGAACTAATATTTTGGGACAATAAAAAATATAATAAGGGACTAATATTTTGGAACAGAGAGAGTATACAATATTTTCATAGTAATTAAAGTCACTTAATATTTTCACAAATTTTTTTTGACTTAGATAAATTTTACCCGATTCAGAGAAATTTAGCCTCGACTCAGAAAATTTTCAATTTTCACAGAGAAATTTATTTGATTTTACAAATTTCTCTGTAAAAATTAAAATTTTTCTAAGTCAAACGAAATTTCTCTGAGTCATATTTTTTCTGTAAAAATATTGAGGGATTAGCTAATAAAAATAAAAAATTTAAAAAAACATTCAATTTGTTTGGTTTCAATTTTCTGAAAACTGAGTTTTTTTTTTCGTATTTTTTAGTTTTTAGTTAATATTTTTAAAATTTTAAGTAATTTTTTTAATTTTTTAGATGCACCTTATTTAGATGCATCTAAATAGTAAAATATTTGTAAACAAATATTTTAAAAAATGAATAAATACACAAAAATACGAAAAATGTATTTAATTTTTGTATTTTTTGGTAATTAGTGTATTTTAAAAAAAAAATTCACAAATATTATACTTTTTAAGTATATTTATATTTGGTGTGTCTAAAAATTAAAAAAAAAATTTGCTTAAAATATTTTAAAAAATCATTGAAAATATTAAAATACGAAAAATAAAAAAATTGAATTTTCTGAAAACTGGAACGAAACAAGCTAAACTCTCTTATTACATAAAGTTAAAGATGGATGTTTCACTGATTTTCTAAAAAATTTGTTGAATGCAAAACATATTAGAATATTTAGCAAGTTTAAAAATTGTAAATCTAATGTAAATAGTGTAAAGATATAAAAGAATAACAATTTTAAAAATATGTTTTAGTATAAAAGAGATTTAATATTATTTTTCTATTCATTTGACTAATAAATTTCTGATAAATAAAAATGCTAAATGTTATATGAAATTAAATTTTAAGAGAGTTCAATATAATCATGTTAAATATGTGAGGCTTTTATTCTATTTTCACCAAACCTTAGGGGAAGTAAATGTAATTTATTCTAAACTTAATTATATTTTTGGTTTGAGTCTTGTGTCATTATGATATGAGCAAATTACACTTTACCACCATTTTTTTATTTAACCCCCTCAAACTAAAAATTGATATAATGTACCATTTCATCATGTAAAAGTTTTCAATAGACCCCTTGTGTCTCCATTTTGTTAGCGAAACAAACAAAAAATGTGCATATAATGTGTACATGTCATATTTATAATTGAAAGATCTGTTGTAAATATGACATGTGCACATTACATGCACATTTTTCATTTGTTTTGTTAACAGAATTGAGATATTAGAGTTAGATTAAAATTTTTTAGGAATTATATCAATTTTTAGTTTGAGAAAGTAAAGCTAAGTGAAAAACGGTGATAGTTGAGGGGGTAAAATGTAATTTGCTCTTATGGTCCCAATTAATAAAAGTGTTTCAATTTAGCTTCCTGAATTGTATCAATTTGATCTCCAATACATATAAAAAAATATAAAAAAATGTCACAAATTTTATTTTTTTTGAAAAATTAAAATTTTAAATGCTCTCCAAACAATGCAATAGTTGTGATTTTATAGTAAATTTCCAACTCTATCCAAGTAATATGATTCAAATGATTTAATTAAATAAGTTTTGGGTTCTTTTTGAAGAAATCTTTTCTCTATAAATAGGAATAGAATTTCACGACCTCCTCAAGTTTCAAATGAAATTCCAATAAAGTTTTGATATACATATATAATAAAGGGAGAGAAAACAAAGAAAGAATTTAAAAAACAATAATTTAAGTCTGACTAGTTACTACTTTGGACAAATTATGGGTTGGCTCGCAAATTGACTTTTTTAGTTAATTTTTTAATATTTTACGAAAAATGTTAGAAAAATAAATAGAGTAATGTAATAATTTATAATATTTTTTTTTTTTTTTTTT